GGAGCCCCCAGGAAATGCCAGGCCAGTTATCACCCTGGTGAAAGGCGGGTTGGGGTGCCTTAACCCCTACCTCCCACCACCACTGGGTGGGTTACCTGTGTGTTTGTTGGGGGGCCCAGATGGGCCAGTGTTGTGAGGGGCCCAGAGAGTGGGAGTGATGGTGTGGTGCTGCGGTTGCCCCCGAGAGGATGGGGAGTAGTGGCACGGTGAGGCCCAGTGACAGAGAGAGGGGCTAGAGACCTGGCCCGAAGGGGATGGTACCCTCGACTGGCCCATGCTGGGGCTAGGACTACGGTAGTTGCGGTGGGCCCCCGGCCCTTTTGAGGGATGCCCAGGAGCCGGGGGCCTGGGGTCCCGACTGGCCTGGAGGTGGGCCAGGGCAAGACGCTGAAGGTCCCGGAGGAACCACACCCGAGAGGGGAACAAGGCTTCGGGGGGCTAGGTAGCCCGGATGAAGGTGGAGAGGATCATAGAGGGGTCCTGTTAGGATGATTCTGGGGCCCAGTGTGGGGCCGGTGACTAGGAGAACAGTGAGATGCCATCTGTGAGGCTTGGGCTGCGGTATTAGGGGAGGTCGGAGCCGCAGAGCGCCCCTGGCATCGGGGCATTACAATGGGCAGCCTCCTGCTTAATTGACATCGATATGTGAATCAATTATCATCAAAGGCATGGTGGGCGAGATAAGCGGGCGGTTGCCCAGTGACAGGCGGGCGGGCCACGAAGAGCTCGGCCCTGAGTAGGCCTCCTGTCACAGTGACAGGCGGGCGGGCCACAGAGCCCGGCCCCAGGAGGCCCCCTGTCACACAGGCAGCCTGTATGAGGCCTCGCTCCTTATATTTGGTAGCTATAACATCTGCAGAATAATTAGAAGTGTGTGTGTGCGAGCGGGCGGTTGCCCAGTGACAGGCGGGCGGGCCACGAAGAGCTCGGCCCTGAGTAGGCCTCCTGTCACAGTGACAGGCGGGCGGGCCACAGAGCCCGGCCCCAGGAGGCCCCCTGTCACACAGGCAGCCTGTATGAGGCCTCGCTCCTTATATTTGGTAGCTATAACATCTGCAGAATAATTAGAAGTGTGTGTGTGCGCGTGTGTGTTTTGCCTTGTCTCGCTCATCAATTGAGCAATCGGTAGTTTGTGTCACACCACCAGCAGCTCCCCAGGCAGCCACAGCCCGGAGCAGGAAAAGCCACGCTAGGAGAGGGGAGGGTGCTGGGTGCCCATGGATTAATTTCATGAACCAGCAAGGAGTGCAGGAGGGTCCTGCATCGCTCTGTGGGGCCCGCCTGGCCCAGACCAGACACAATGGCCCCACACAGCCTCACAGGGACTGCTCCTGGCTGAGCCCCCACTGCCTGGTCCCTCTGCCGGGGAACTCGCCAGGACCCTGCAGAGCGGGGCCCTACAGCCTGATTTAGTAGTGAGGCTGCCCCCTGCCCAGCTGCATCCACACTCCCCACATCTGGACCTCCCGGTTCTGTCCTGCCCCCAGCCCAACTACAGGCACTGCCACTCACCGGCACCGATTCCTGGGACAGCCGCAATGCCCACAAGCAGCAGCAGCAGGAGCAGCAGTCGGGATCCTGGAGCCACTTTTGCAGAAGCTTCATGCGGCGCTTCTGGCCTTTGTGCACAGGAATTGCAGGTGCTCCCGCACAGCGATGGGTGCAATGGGCTGCAGGGTGCTGCAGGGTCACTCTGTGGTGCGGAGGGAGATGGGGCTGTGTGAGCCGGGCCCAGGGCTTGGGATTCATGCTGGGGGGGACAAAACCG